AAGTTTTTTGAGTTTTATGCTTCAAAAATATTAGTATAGTTTATTTTTAAATTTTTTTCTTTTATAATTTAATTGCATCTGTATGTCGGTGTATATATATTTTTTTATTTTAATATTTAATCAGAAATAATAAATTTTTATTTATTTATGAGTTCACATATTTTTTTAATTATTTGATGGTGCATATATTTTTTAAAAAATAAAAATATTATGGTACATTAAACATTTTAATTCAATTATTTTCTTCTATTGCATTAAAAATTAACCTATCCCCTCGTAAAATAGGTATAAGGTTGCTTGATACATCTAAAAAAGTTAGGTGTCAACTCGCATCCTTAACAGCTTTTATAAACATGAATAAGATTGATTTTTTTTCTATTATTTTTTTATTTTTTTTTAATTTTATTTTAAAATATTTGTTTGATTTTAAATTTATCTTCATAAATTATTTTAGTGTATTTTTTAAAAAGTTATTGTAATCTTAAACAAATATTTTGACATTTAATTTGTATTTAGTGTGCGAGTGTTTTTTTATTATTGTATAATTAAGTAAAAATAAATTTAAAAAATAAAATTTTAAATTCAATTGAATCCACAACCTGTATTGTAAAATTAGCAAGTTAAGCTACAAAAGCTCAAGTCGGTCAAATACATCAACATCTCAATATTAAAAAATCATCTTGAATTATTATTTTTAAAGTTAAAACATGTTTTTTACCGATCTAAATTACCTCTAAACTTACTAAATAGAGTTTGTTCACTTTAAAATAATTATTATATTATTTAATTTTAAACTCGGATTAGATAATAAATTAGGTTAAGTAATTTTAAGATTAACATCTTAAACTAAATTTAATAACAATAATTTTTTATATTCTAAATATTTTTATTACATTGTATACTTTTTTCATCCGAACCGCAATATAACACAAATCTATGAACTAGTATTATCTATAAAAGTTATAAACAAATGACAACATTAGCTTACTTTATTCATATGTCCTCATTTCTCATTCTCAAGAGGTGTCCCTTTAAGTTTCTTTTTGTCTAAACAAAAGACTATGAGCAAAAAATATATACCTAGTATTTTCATATAAATATCAAAATTTTCTTGATATTTATAAATACCTAGTATTTACGAGTTCTTTGAATTTTCATAACTACTCTTTTATAGCTTAGCGCAAGGTGACACCAATTCCTTGATCTTTCTAATGGGTCATAAAAAGCACAAATTATACAAAACCTCTCTATATCTTCAGCCTAGTGATTACCACTTACGGTAACCTTAATGGATTTTAAAAGATTTGAGTTGTTTGTTTTTATGTTTTAAAAATATCTTTAAAAAACTGAAATTTTATTTTATATTTTAAATTTATATTTTTTTTGATATTTTTAAATTATTTTGATATGTAAAAATGAAAATTAATTTTGAAAAATAAAAAAATATTATTTTAATATATTTTTAAATAAACATAATTAAAAACTCATGTTAAAAAGCTGTCGAATGGCAATCCTCAAAATCCGCAAGCCTAGGCAACCGGGGGAGCTGAACAATCGACCAGTCAGTTCACAAATCGCATTCTAAGTTGACATGACAACAAGACCCTCAGACAGTTGCGGAATAAAGGACCACTAGTCTTGTGACCTTCGAGATGCCATGGGCCCCAATAAAATATTAACGTTGAATAGAAATATTAAGATGCTGCAAGTGTGTTTTTTAAAAGTAAAAAAAAAAAAAAATCTTGATTCAAGTTATAAGCACGATTTATTTGAGCAAGCTTGTTTTACCTAATAAAATAATTAAAAAAATAAGCATATCAGATGGGTTGAAGTAAGAAAAAAATTTATGATAAAAAAGTATTTATTAGAAAGAAAAACACAATAAATATAAATTTCAATCTAATCTAATGAAATGCAAAGGAGAAAAAACAAAATAAAATAGTTGAAATCAACTAAGATATATTTGTTAAATCCACAACTCATTCAGAAAATCATAATAATAAATCAAAAAACAAGTATAAAAAACAAGTAAGCCTAGTTAGTTTTCTAAGAAGGTTTAATTTAAAAAAAACAAATCAATTAATAAAAAAATAAACAAAAAAATGCTAGCAAACTCAAGTATACTGCAACTCGTTTTTTTTCAAATGGGACAACACATTAAAAAACAAGTTGAGAAAGGTTATAAAGCTAAATGCATAAAATAAAATAAAATGATGAACAACAAAACATAAATAAATCAATTTTAGAAAGAACAAACCAAAATTAAGAGATAAAGATAATTCTAAAATAATAAAACTGAAAAAAAATGATTAACAACTTCACATATAATGATAAAATTAAAAAAATAATATAGAAAAAAAAAGAGCCAATATTATCCATACTAACTTTTCAAATTCATGAATTATATCATGAGTTTAATGTAATCCAATTAAAAAAAACCATAATTTTTAATATTCAATAAATCTAAAATTAATCAATAAAATTTAAAAATAATTATAATTTTACAAAAGGCTCCAAAAAAAAAATTATTGTTGCGTTAAAAAATTAATTTGTCAGTTCACAAATCGCCTTCTAGGTTGACATTACTACAAGACCCTTGGGCAATTGCGAATAGAGGACCACCAGTCTTGTGGCGTTCGATAAGCCATGAGCCGGAAAAATATCTAAACTTTAAATAAAAATATTAAGAGGCCGTAAGCGTGCTTCTGAAGGTAAGAAAAAATCACGTTTCAAGTTATAAATCCAACTTATTCGAATAAAAAGCTTGTTTTACCTAATAAAATAACTAAAAAAAAATGATAAGAAAAAAAGTTATCATGATAATAAAAATGTTTATTAAAAAAAAACACAGTAAAGGAAAAAAGACAAAACAACTCCTAAATTCCGTGTAGATTTATTTTGATTTTAAAGGTATTCTGCTCTAAGAATACAAAAAGAGTATTCTAATCACTATACTATACTCTAAAAATACCCCCAATATAAAAAGATTATATTGCCCTCAAATCAATATGATGATACCATTGGTTCTTATGAAATTACATTATTGTCCCAAGAGCTACCTGATGATTTTTTTTAAAAAAAGCAAAAATATAATTACATTTTATCTAGAATTCGCTACCCCAACCGCTTTTTTTTTTTTTTTAGTTAAATGAAGAACACTAGTTTTATCAGGCTTCCTCCAATCAACAGTCAACAAGTCAGGTTCCAAAACAAGAACAAGATGCATCCCCCTTCAACTCCATTGGCCATTCAACTTGGTCCAGCAGCAGAAATTGACGAGTCTCTGAACTCGAAACCATGAGAGCAGTTAACCTACCCCCCAGAACTGCACTGACCTGAAACTGGGGATGGCAAGGGGTTTGCTCATTCCTGC